GAATTTTCTTTTTAATTTAATTTTTTTCTCTCTCTCTCACTCTCACTCCACAGCCGACCCCCCCCCCACCCCCCAATTTCTCCACTTTTTTTCACGTTCATATTTTGCACGTCCCGGAAAAGATTACCAAGGTGGAGGCGTGGGCGAGGAAGGGGCGGTAATTGCACGGCATGGCGGCAATTAGGTGAAAAGTAATAACATCGTTTTATTGAGTCGGAAAATGGATCGTTTTCTTGCCACGTGCATTTGTGTTCCCCCTCGTAATTTACGTATTCATCCTTTCGTTTTGTTTCATTCGCTCGCTCGCGGGCCTTTTGTTTTCGTATTAACCGCGCGAGGGATCGATGTGTAGCATCGTGGGGATGCAATTGCGTGAATGACGCTCTGTAAAATGAATTATTATTATTCCGACTAAAAGCGTCCGAGTCTCAGCGCCCCCCGCCGCTGAGGTAGGGGGTGACCCGCCGACACCGCACGATGCCTGTCCGTGAACTCGGCTCAAGAATGTTAATGTGGGCGCGAAACCGGAGAGCCCCGGGTCGAAAACCCCACCGGGGCCGCACGACTTAGGAGCAACAACGCTCGGCCAAAACCTCCACACGGATAGATTTTGGAATCCACTGCCATCTTTCGGACCCCATTACCCAGGAAAGTTTCCATCCCGACACGAAACCAGGCTCACACTCGCTTGTGGCTTCCAAAATCAAGTGCATACGCGATGATTCGGTCACAAGGCAAGCACATTTTTCTTTTTTTAAACAGGAATAAAAAAATAAACACGTTTCAAACGAGACGGAAGAGCGTTTCAAAAGGCGCGCAGCCAAACACAAGACAATCGGCAGTTCCTGAAAGAAATAAAAATAAAACAATAAAATCACGACGTTTCTGAGGCAACACAAGCGTCCGTCTTCAGGTGAAACTGTCACAGCAATATATCTCTTCACTTGATACAGATATTTCACCTGAAGACGGAAGCTTGTGTTGCCTCCGAAACGTCGTGATTTTATTGTCTCATTAATTTTAATTTCATTTTTTATCTACGTGACTTTACCGAAAGAACTAAGAGCATGAATCCTTGCACTTACGAAAGCTTCTAATCTAGAGTTCCTGAAAGAACTGCACTCTGCTCCTTCTGCAATGGATCACCACCGAAATGCATTCGAACAAATGTGGCCGACTGACGGCAGCGGTGGCGGAGATGCATCGGCGAGTCAACTAACCGTGGACCGGTTTCACCCTCACGGGGAAATCATCGGCACGCCTCACACCGCTGCAAAGTCTGCCTCTGGGGATAATCCGCTCGTACGCAGCGGGACCGGGGGGGGGGCGGGCAGCCCACGAGCTCGGCTCGTGCGAGCAACAATCCAATTTGTCCGGAACGACGGATGGCCCGACCAGCTCCTGTGCGATTATTATTCTGCCGCGGCCGGTTTTCTTTCGTCGCTTACCGAGTCGGAATCAAAATCAGTGCCCCCCCTCCCACCCCGGCACAACCCTTTCCCCGCCGGCGCTGCCCCCCTCGGTGCAGCCGTGCCCGTCGCAGCGCCGGGCGCCTTTCGACTTTTCTCCGAGCCCCCCAGCTTACGCGTGGACCCGCGCGCGCCCGCTCATTTCCGCGGGATGTCATTACCGCCGCCGGGAGGAGCGGCCCGCCGCGGTATGAATAACGCGTGCCGATTGTCGGAACCCATTTCTCACATTTTGGACGTAAAACCAAATTGCTAAGGAGAAGGGGGGAAGAATGAGACAACTGGCCTGGTATAACCGGGGTGGGGAGGAGGGAGGGGGAGTTCAGATGCCACTCTCCGTCGTCTTCCGGAGGCGCGGCGCTACGGAGATCACACCGAGCCGTGGCCGGTGATGGTTACAAACAAACAAAAAAACTAACGTTTAAAGGTGCAGTCCACCGTCGTTTGATGACAAAAGCCACATCGCACGGGCGTAGGGGGGGGCCCTCCCGCTACCGGGAGGAACTCCCGGAGGGCCTTTTTGGCCACCCGGGTCCATGATGCTGACGCGGCCGTCTTCAAAGTGACGGGAGGACCCGCACCCGGCCGGGTACGGGTACCGGTTTGCGACCCTGGTGCGGCCGGGTACGGGTAGGTCGTGAGTCATCGGTGAGTAACCGTTTGTCACTCGTTTCGGGTAAGGTACGGGTACCCGTTTGCGACCCTGGTGCGGCCGGGTACGGGTAAGGAATCAAAACCCGTTTGCGACCTCTGATTTGACCTCACCAGAGGGGAGACATTCCAAATCGACTCACTGCTACGGTGTACCCATGTAGATTGCTGGGTGCATAGAGGTGACGCCGGAAGGGGGGGAGGGGGGGAGATTTAATAAACCAACAGCGTCAACTTCTGCATTGATTTGGCAAACGGCGCGCCCACCTTTTATCTCTGGCGGGTATTTGGCCTACTCTTCCACGTGGACCAGATTCGAGACTTGGGAAAACACAAACGTACCACCACCCCCCCCCCCCCCCACCCGGTTGAAACGCCGCGTACGCCTGTGGAACGACGCCCACTTGAACATTTCCAGCAGGAAACTCTCCCCCGCCGTTTCCACCGCGGCCAGTGGCGAGCGCCGACCACCATCGCCGCCGCCGCCGCAGCTGCTGCCCGTTCCTCAGCGAGAAACAACGCAAGTCTCTCCGCCGACCTGCTCAACCGTGGGCTCAATGTGGGTTTCACCGAAGACGTGTCCGTCAGGTGTCCACCAAAGGGCCGACCAACGGACGGATGGACACAGCAGTCCCCTGGCCACGGTCTGTCGGGCCCCATCGGAAGCTGCCACCGTGCGGGCGAGCGTTACGGTATCGGGTCTCGGACGCGAGACCGCAAGTAAGAGCGGAGGGGGGCGGGAGGGAGGGCAGGATGGGGGCCTTCCTACTGCGGTGGGGCCTTCCTACTGCGGTGGGGAGTTCCGCTCGGGGAAACCCGGCACGCCTTACCGCGGCAGAACCTGACACCGCGATCGCCGCGATTTCGGTGTGCGGGCGCCCCCAGCCGATAGCCGCCCGGCGCTTGCTCCGGTTCGACTCGCCGGCGAACGGAACGCTGAGTAAGGAAACCCGCCCCCCACCCCTCACCGCAGTGAATCAGGACCGCGTGCAATAAACACGTTGCAGGGCACAGCACCGAATGAACAAACAAAGAAATGGGTACTATGAGACATTTCCTTAACCAGTGGCAAAATATAGTGATAGGTTTTAACCCTTTCAACTGGTACAAAAACTGACAACTTTATGCAAGGCATCATGTTTGCAATAACCACAACACAAGTAGTCAACTTCAAGGACAGTGCATATCATTATCATCGTCAGAGTTGTTTCCTTTTGTTTGCATTTTGACTGCTTGTGTTGTGGTTATTGCAAACATGATGCCTTGTATAAAGGTGTCAGTTTTGCACCAGTTTAAAGGGTAAAAACCTATTACTATATCTCCGAGCCACCGTGATGATGATGATGAGAGAGACGCAAACTCCAAATATACAGCGGGCGTCAAGGTCGGGATCGAACCCACGACCTCCTGCACACCAAGCGAGGTAGTTAACATCTCCGAGCCACCGTGATGATGATGAGAGAAAGACGCAGACTCCAAATATACAGGAAGCTTCAGGATCGGGATCGAACCCACAACCTCCTGTATACCGGGCGAGGTAGTTAACATCTCCGAGCCACCGTGATGATGATGAGAGAGAGACGCAGACTCCAAATATACAGGAAGCTTCAGGATCGGGATCGAACCCACAACCTCCTGTATACCGGGCGAGGTAGTTAACATCTCCGAGCCACCGTGATGATGAGAGAGAGACGCAGACTCCAAATATACAGGAAGCTTCAGGATCGGGATCGAACCCACGACCTCCTGTGTACCGGGCGAGGTAGTTAACATCTCCGAGCCACCGTGATGATGATGATGAGAGACACGCAAACTCCAAATATACAGCAGCAGGCTTCAGGGTCGGGATCGAACCCACGACCTCCTGTACACCAGGCGAGGTAGTTAACATCTCCTAGCCACAATAATGATGAGAGACACGTAAACTCCAAATATACAGCAGGCAGGCGTCAGGGTCGGGATTGAACCCACGACCTCCTGCATACCAGGCGAGGTAGTCAACATCTCCTAGCCACTGTGGCACCCACCACTTCCATTACCATGAATCACCCAGGAGGTTCAAACTCTGTAGGAGGCCCTTCTGTCCTTATAACGCCCCATCTTCTTAAACCCCGCCCCTTTCTGGGCTAGGCCACGCCTCTTTCTGGGTTAGGCCCCGCCCCTTTCTGTGCTAGGCTCCGCCCCTTTCTGGGCTAGGCCACGCCTCTTTCTGGGCTAGGCCCCGCCCCTTTCTGGGCTAGGCCCCGCCCCTTTCCGGGCCAGGCTCCGCCCCTTTCTGGGCTAGGCCCCGCCCTTTTCCGGGCTAGGCCACGCCCCTTTCTGGGCTAGGCCACGCCCCATTCCTGGGCTAGGCTCCGCCCCTTCTTCAGGCTCTACCCATTCTTCTTTAGGCCCCGCCCCTTCCCGTGTCGGGCCACTTCCTGTGTAAGCCCCGCCCCTTCCTCTTTATGCCCCGCCCCTTTCCGTGTATGGCCACGCCCCTTCTTTAAGCTCCGCCCATTCTTTAAGCCCCGCCCCTTCCTCTTTAAGCCCCGCCCCTTCCTCTTTAAGCCCCGCCCCTTCTTTAAGCCCCACCCCTTTCTGTTAAGCGCTCCGCCCCCTTTCCTCAGGACACACGGGATTTCAGCTGGGTTTGGTCGTGGTTAGGAGAAACGTGGGTCGGGGGTGTGTGTAGTGCGTGTGGGCAACGGCGGTCGTGGTGGAATAGGGGGCAGGGGCAGCTTCACGACGCTCATCAGAATCTCCCCTCTAAACAGCAGCCGGGTGACGGACGGCAATTAACGCGACGGCCGTTGCAGGAGCCACCGCGTGGACCTCGTGCGGGAATCGGACGTGCGCTGAAGAACCGACCGACGTCTCGCCGCACGCCGCCGCGCTCACCGGTCAAGATGCTCGGCAGTCGGAGCGGCGCTGTGGACGATTGCCGCAGGGGGCGTGTGAGGCGGGGGGGGCCCCGATTCGTACACTTGCAGCTTCACCTTCAGGTCGGCCACCTGCGCACAGGAGGCCACGACCGCGGGGGGACGTCAAGTCAGTCAGGCCGCGTCCGCTTTTGCGCAAACGCAGCGCGCGAAAGAACCAAAGAGTAAAAACTGTGTTCATGTATGTATCCTGAACTTATTTCGCGTCGTACAAAGCCACAAGTGGTGCATAAAGCAAAGCCAAATGGTAGGCAGAGAAAACACACGAGGTTCGTGACATGAACGACAGAGGTTAGTCAGTTTAACACGTAGGCTTTCGCGACGTCCTCAGGTGAGGTGAGGACGGCTGCTTGCGTTGTGGCCGAAACGTCGTGAGAATTATTTGAGTATGTTTTATTTTTATTATTTTATTACTTCCCTTCTACGTGACTTTACCGAAAGAACCAAGAAGATGAATCCCTGCAGCAGTCACGAAAGCTTTAAATCGAAATTTAAGAGGTTAGTCGTCGAACGTTTCCACGAACAACAGAGGTGGATGACCACGTGGCGTCGATGACGAGGAAGGGAGAAAGGGGTCTGACAACGAAACGAAGAGGCGTTAGAGACTCCGCGGAACCGTAAGCGGTAACTAACAACGGCAAGCATCGTCACGCGAACAGCCACACTCCGCCTGATGATGCTGGTTGTTGTTGTTGTAATTATCAGCGGAACGTCCCGGCGCTCCAATTGTAAATGCAGTAGCGGGGGTTAACTCTCTTGTTACTCTCCGAGTAACAAATCGGCACGTTTTCGTTCACGTGACAAACCCCCTTAACGGATGAATCCGCCGCGCGTCGGGTGGTGGAGGGTTTCACGACACGACATTTCCGTTGACGCGATCCAACCCAAAATAAGTATAACCCGTAAAAACAAAGTTTTTCACTATAAATCCTTTATATGCGTGGCGGCTAGAGTCCTCTCGTCCTCTGGCTTGAGATGGCTGCCACCTATGGGTCAGATGATTGTATTGCACCATTAAGCAATTGGTAATTAAATATAATTTATTTTTGTCCTAAAAAGTGTACAATTTTGGAAAAAAAATTTCACGAACATTAATTGTTACGCACAACGAGTCTGTGTGGAAAATGTCAGCTCGATTGGATCACGGGAAGTGGGTTAAAAAACGATCGAAAGATTTGCACGGTCGCAAGCAAGCAAACAAGCAAGCACGCAAGTGAACTTAATATAAAGGATTTAAAAAAAAACCTCGATTATAGATCACGCGTCGTTGGATCGCTCAGACACGGGGGGGAGGGAGGGGAGGGAGGGCGCCGAATTAATTCCAGCTCCGTAAGTTCCAAAGCGGAGAAGCGTCCTCGCACAATAGGAACAGAATTTAGGCCGAACACACAAAGCCCCCCCCTCCCCCCCCCCTATAATTTTACACGTTAAATAAATGCGTATTTTTAAACGCGCGAGAAGTTATTTTTATCGCAAAGGCGGCGACGCAACTTGCGCGCGTGTGTTATGCGAAAACATCGGGGGGGGGGGGGGTGATGTGGGAGGGGGTGATGCGGGAGGGTCAGGCGGGTTGGTTGCCGTCTGTTGCCTACCCCCCCCCTGCCCGCCCCCTCTCCTCGCCACCCACCCCCCCGGTCCTCTCTATCCGTGGCACGGCAAAAACTGAGACGGCGGCAGCCCAGCCAGCGAGAGCGGCTCTAGCAGGACGCAGCAATCTCTAAACAGCTCAGCGGCAAAGAAAAGTGGAGGCGGGGGGGGTGCTCGCGGGACAGAGACGCGGCCAATAACGATGGACGGACGGGGCAAGGGAGGTGGGCAAGGGGCAGGGGTCGAAGGCATTTGTGAAGGGAGTACGGACGGAGGGAGGAAGGGGTCATCAGATCCGGTGAGGCAGTGGCGAGGAAGACAGACGCACGCAGATACAAGGCGGGGGGCGGGCATCTAGCGAGTCAGGGTGTTCTGCCGCCGTCATTTCCCCCCGTGACGTTGTTGCGTAGAGCTCCATCGGCGCCGTGGGACAAAAGTACCCAACGAGAACTTTCGTCGAGCTCGCTATAGCAGTTCTGCTGATTATAGAATGTACCAGCGAGGCCGATGTTGACTGCCTCGCCTGGTCTACACGAGGTCGTGGGTTCAATCTCGACTCTGACGTCTGCTGCTGTATATTTGGAGTTTGCGTGTCTCTCTCTCTTCCCATGGTCGGGTGGCTTTTTCAGCGGGACCCCCCGGTTTTTCCCTCCACATGAAGAATCAACATCACGCGTTGAGAGATTATTTGGCCGCTACGAATGTCCACGCGATAGGCCACTTTGCAGACCTATCATTTGTGATGGGCATGTCACACAGCTCAGTGGGGCCTTACCTGGTAAAATCTAAATAGTTTACACTTTTATAATTTGCTAATCGAGCCAAGGCCCTTCAGCGCTGGTTCACGTCACCAAGTTATTGAGCGACACAGCTTTTTACGCGACTTTAATTCCGCTTTTGATCATCTCGACCCTGAGCTACCGTGACCCACCGCCCCCACCGTCACAGACAGACTGCTCGACGGACAGATGGACGCACCGACAGATGGACGGACAGAGCTCATTTAACAAAAATAAATAAGTATAACCCGTAAAAACAAAGTTTTTCACTATAAATCCTTTATATGCGTGGCATCGGGGCGGCTAGAGTCCTCTCGTCCTCTGGCTTGAGATGGCTGCCACCTATGGGTCAGATGATTGTCTGGCAGCATTAAACAATTGGTAATTAAATATTTTTAAAAAATTCCCTAAACAGTGTAAAATTTTGGAATTTTTTTTTCAGGAAAATGCATTGTCACGCACAACGAGTCTGTGTGCAAAATGTCAGCTCGATTGGATCACGGGAAGTGGGTTAAAAAACGACCGAAAGATTTGCACGGTCCTAAGCAAGCAGGCGAACTTAATATAAAGGATTTAAAAAAAACACTTTCAATGCTCTAACCCCCTCCCTCTCTCCGCCCCCGCCCCCTCTCTCTATTTAAGGCCTCGTCACAGAGACGTTCTCCCTCTCTGTACCTGTGTTACTCTCTCTCTGTGTATCTTGGTGATATCTGTCTGCTTATATGTCTGTCTATAGTTTTCTGGTTAAAATTTTTGTCGCTATTTCATTTATACCTGACGATTGCTTGTGTTGCAATCGAAACGTCGTAGTATGGTAGTATTTAATTTATTATTTTATCTTTATACGTCACTTTACCGAAAGAACCAAAGAGTACTTTCAACGCTCCTCAGCAGGGCCTCACCTCTTTCCGCAGCTCCGTGCAAATCTTGGCGTAGCGGCTGATGTGGCAGTCGAAGCTGACCACATTGCTCTTGAGCTGTGGACACCACGAAGGGAGGAGGGTGGGGGGCACAGAGAGGGAACAATGAGAATGCGTCCAGATTAGATCAGTGCTCTTCAAGTCTATTAGGACATCAAGTGCCGCCTGGATGACTATTGGCGTTGCAGGTGTTGCCGAACCAGTAGCGGCCATCGATCGGTTACAGGTAGCGCCGCGCCGCGCGCGAATAAATAACCGTCACAAGTAATAACAATAACATCATCGAGTTATTTTCATTGACACGGCATTGCTTGAGATGCCTCGGCAATTAAAGGTGACTTGCGTCGCAACTCAAGCAGCCAATCCTCAGTGGCAGGTGTCTCTCCTCTGCTCGCGCGAAGGTGCGGCAGTTTCAAGCGAGCCTGATGCTGCCAATTAAACATTGAAATGTCAAATAAAAACCGTCCGCGGGGGAGGAAGGAGGGGGGGCTCTGTTTGCGCTGAACCAATGCTCGCTGAAAAATGTCACTTCGAGAAGGCCGTATGGCACGCGTGTGCGCACAGCATATCATTTTGTACGTGGAGGGAGGTGCACGGGAAGGAGGCCAAATTGCCTCCCCGTCTAATTTTGTTCGTGAACTTCGTTGGTTGGCTGCGATTGCTTCCGAGAGACACCTATTGACGGGCGGCTGAATTGCAAAATCACTCTCGTCATCATCACGATCACTCTCGTCATCATCACGATCACCACCGCCATCATCACGATCACCACCGTCATCATCACGATCACTCTCGTCATCATCACGATCCCCACCATCATCATCACGACCACCACCGCCATCATCACGATCACCACCGTCATCATCACGATCACTCTCGTCATCATCACGATCCCCACCATCATCATCACGACCACCACCGCCATCATCACGATCACCGTCGTCATCATCACGATCACTCTCGTCATCATCACGATCCCCACCATCATCATCACGACCACCACCGCCATCATCACGATCACCGTCGTCATCATCACGATCCCCACCGCCATCATCACGATCACCACCCATCATCACGATCACCACCCATCATCACGATCACCACCCATCATCACGATCACCACCCATCATCACGATCACCACCGCCATCATCATCACGATCACCACCGCCATCATCACGATCACCACCGCCATCATCATCACGATCACCACCGTCATCATCACGATCACCACCGCCATCATCATCACGATCACCACCGTCATCATCACGATCACCACCGCCATCATCATCACGATCACCACCGCCATCATCACGATCACCACCGTCATCATCACGATCACTCTCGTCATCATCACGATCACTCTCGTCATCATCACGATCCCCACCATCATCATCACGACCACCACCGCCATCATCACGATCACCGTCGTCATCATCACGATCACCACCGTCATCATCACGGTCACCGCCATCATCATCACGATCACTCTCGTCATCATCACGATCACTCTCGTCATCATCACGATCACCACCGCCATCATCACGATCACCACCGTCATCATCACGATCACCGCCATCATCATCACGATCACCGCCATCATCATCACGATCACTCTCGTCATCATCACGATCACTCTCGTCATCATCACGATCACTCTCGTCATCATCACGATCACTCTCGTCATCATCACGATCACCACCGCCATCATCACGACCACCACCGCCATCATCACGATCACCGTCGTCATCATCACGATCCCCACCGCCATCATCACGATCACCACCGTCATCATCACGGTCACTCTCGTCATCATCACGATCACTCTCGTCATCATCACGGTCACTCTCGTCATCATCACGATCACCGCCATCATCATCACGATCACCGCCGTCATCATCACGATCACTCTCGTCATCATCACGATCCCCACCATCATCATCACGACCACCACCGCCATCATCACGATCACCGTCGTCATCATCACGATCCCCACCGCCATCATCACGATCACCGCCATCATCATCACGATCACCGTCGTCATCATCACGATCACTCTCGTCATCATCACGATCACTCTCGTCATCATCACGATCCCCACCGCCATCATCACGACCACCACCGCCATCATCACGATCACCGTCGTCATCATCACGATCCCCACCATCATCATCACGACCACCACCGCCATCATCACGGTCACTCTCGTCATCATCACGATCACCACCGTCATCATCACGATCACCACCGTCATCATCACGATCACTCTCGTCATCATCACGATCCCCACCATCATCATCACGACCACCACCGCCATCATCACGATCACCGTCGTCATCATCACGATCCCCACCGCCATCATCACGATCACCACCGTCATCATCACGGTCACTCTCGTCATCATCACGATCACCGCCATCATCATCACGATCACCGCCATCATCATCACGATCCCCACCGCCATCATCACGATCACCACCGTCATCATCACGATCACTCTCGTCATCATCACGATCACTCTCGTCATCATCACGATCCCCACCATCATCATCACGACCACCACCGCCATCATCACGATCACCGTCGTCATCATCACGATCCCCACCGCCATCATCACGATCACCGCCATCATCATCACGATCACCGTCGTCATCATCACGATCACTCTCGTCATCATCACGATCACTCTCGTCATCATCACGATCCCCACCATCATCATCACGACCACCACCGCCATCATCACGATCACCGTCGTCATCATCACGATCCCCACCATCATCATCACGACCACCACCGCCATCATCACGGTCACTCTCGTCATCATCACGATCACCGCCATCATCATCACGATCACCACCGCCATCATCACGATCACTCTCGTCATCATCACGATCCCCACCGCCATCATCATCACGACCACCACCGCCATCATCACGATCACCGTCGTCATCATCACGATCCCCACCGCCATCATCACGATCACCACCGTCATCATCACGGTCACTCTCGTCATCATCACGATCACCGCCATCATCATCACGATCACCGCCATCATCATCACGATCCCCACCGCCATCATCACGATCACCACCGTCATCATCACGATCACTCTCGTCATCATCACGATCACTCTCGTCATCATCACGATCCCCACCATCATCATCACGACCACCACCGCCATCATCACGATCACCGTCGTCATCATCACGATCCCCACCGCCATCATCACGATCACCACCGTCATCATCACGGTCACTCTCGTCATCATCACGATCACTCTCGTCATCATCACGATCACTCTCGTCATCATCACGATCCCCACCATCATCATCACGACCACCACCGCCATCATCACGATCACCGTCGTCATCATCACGATCCCCACCGCCATCATCACGATCACCACCGTCATCATCACGGTCACTCTCGTCATCATCACGATCACCGCCATCATCATCACGATCACCACCGCCATCATCACGATCACTCTCGTCATCATCACGATCCCCACCGCCATCATCATCACGATCACCACCGCCATCATCACGATCACCGTCGTCATCATCACGATCCCCACCGCCATCATCACGATCACCACCGCCATCATCACGATCACTCTCGTCATCATCACGATCCCCACCATCATCATCACGACCACCACCGCCATCATCACGATCACCGTCGTCATCATCACGATCCCCACCGCCATCATCACGATCACCACCGTCATCATCACGGTCACTCTCGTCATCATCACGATCACCGCCATCATCATCACGATCACCGCCATCATCATCACGATCCCCACCGCCATCATCACGATCACCACCGTCATCATCACGATCACTCTCGTCATCATCACGATCACTCTCGTCATCATCACGATCCCCACCATCATCATCACGACCACCACCGCCATCATCACGATCACCGTCGTCATCATCACGATCCCCACCACCATCATCACGATCACCACCGTCATCATCACGGTCACTCTCGTCATCATCACGATCACCGCCATCATCATCACGATCACCACCGCCATCATCACGACCCCCACCGTCATCATCACGATCACCGTCGCCATCCCATTACCGACAATGTAACCGACAGAATCGGAACGTGCGTTTGCAACCGGGGGTGATTCCGACGGGCCAGGAACCCCGATTTTTTTCACACGTGGCCCAGGGGGAGGAGGGGGAGGGGGGAGCCGTGGGGGGAGGTGGGCTTGTGTCCACCACCGAACGCCCGCGGACGGAGCGAGCCTCCGGCGGCGGTGGCGACACGCCGCTCGTTAACACCGACGCGTTACAACGACGCGGCGTGTGACGGGGGCGGCACGAAACCCGCGGCGGTGGCGCCGCCAAAAAAACCGGCACCGTGGACGGCACAAAAATATCGCTCGCGTGCGCGCGCGCGTGCAGGTGGGCGGGCAGGCGCACGTGGGAGCCAGCGAGCAAGCGAGCGAGCGCGTGCGTTATTGGCCGACCTATTTTGGGGGCGCTGCACCAATAAAGGCGCGGAAACCCTTTGGGGTAGCGATGACGCACGAGCTGCAAAGGACACAAGGGGGGGGGGGGGGGGCAGCAGCAGACGCTTGCGGAGCGAGCGGGGGGAGGGGGGGGCTTATTACGTTAAATTAAATGTCTGCCTCCGCGCACGCCATGCATTATTGATACCCGCGCGCCACCAACGCGCGCGCACACCCACGGACGCGATTCTGTGCGCGCGTACCGCAACGCTTGTGCCGTGTTTTACTTTCACCAAGACAAAGATCCCCGCGCCGTGCGGCCTCTGACAGACTGTTGGGGGCAGGTGCTGTTAGCGAGCGGCGCCTAACGAAGGCCGGCACGACACTCGAGGGGGTGGGTGGCCAGCACCAAGCCCGGCCGCCTTTGTCTCCCTCAGTGGCGATGTTGACACGCCCCACCGGCTAACTCATTTGAGGCCGAGTTAACCTAAGGGAGGACGAAGGACCGGTTCAAATATTCGCCACTGTAATTGGTCGTGAGCGGGAATTGAACTCGAGCCGTCGCTGGGTGCGTAAGCGCGGTGCGCT